TTTGTGTAAGGTTTTAATTAAACGAATATTAATTAAATTAATTGATTATTATTTATTAATTAAATAAGGCGAATGTGAATAAATACTAACATTAACCTGGCAAGATATTGTACAACGGAACGTATGCAATGCGAACAAATTGAGGTTGCTCAATATCAAATTCTTGACTACGGTAATAAATTACTTTACAATTTCTTATCATATTATCAAGAATACATAACCAAAAATTACATAGATTCACTTTTTATGTACTTTGTGAGACAAGAGTAATGTTTTGGCGGCAAAAATAGAAGGATGGTGTACTTACCAGTCCAATATCTTGAATCCTACGTGAAATTGTCCTTGCCAATCCATGGTCTGGGATGTCCAAATAAAAGCAAAAACTTCTTCGTACTGTAACATTTAAACACTGTTAAAGAGGTTTTTAAGTTATTTGTAAGGTGGGTTTTATAAATCAAAATATGGCGCACCTCTGTTATATTTTTCTTCAAGATTCAGAGTCGAAACCATCTTGACGTAAAACTTTTTGTTTATTGTTAACTCTAATTTACTAAAACACAGTTAATCCGGTAAGCACAATCACAAATTTTAATGAAACTTCATTAAAAAACTAGTCATTTTATAGAAATTATATAAGATTTTATGAAATTTATAGAAAAATTCATTTCGTAAAATACGTTTCAAATGTCGAAAACGTCAATGACAGCTGAGTTCCACAGACGAAAGGATGTACTGAAGATCTATGGTCGTCAATCGATATTTTTAATCGATAGTAATTAATTACTAAACTACCGTTAATGTGCTAGTTAATCACGATTTCTTAATAACGTGGCATTAATTTATCAATTATTAATTATTATATAATTTAGAAATGCTTATTAACTATGACTAAGATTTGGTTAATTTTTATTATAAAAGAAGGTCACTTAATGCTTCGTAGGCGTAGGCAGTTTTAAGTAGGTTGACCATGCATGCAACTACATAAATTGGTAGTAGTAAAGTAAGCAATTGGTTAAGTTGTTATTTAAATAAATCAAAACGAAAGCTACTCCATTCGTTTTATTATTCTACAAGTCTAGCGATACATAGTCGCGGGCATGTACCTACTGTAGGCACACGACACAGGCGGGAGTATAAGCCCGACTATATACGTATTTTATTGATTGCTTGTGTTTGTATGTACCAAAGTGGACGTTCGTCATGTACCTAGTTATCTAGGCAACCGCCCGTCGGACGTTTCGTACTATAGTTATATGTAGGTCGCCCTAAATGCATCTGTTACCCATACCTTTCCCGGGGCTCGGTAAATCAATATCAATTCGCGCCACTGCTATTGAATGTTGTGATAGCTTATTAGTAGACAAATAATACAGGACCTACTAGGTATTCACCTCTGTCTGCGTACATGGTTGGTAAACTTAATTTTTTTTTACTAATATGGCAATATTGTTTCACTAATCGTCCGGCCGGACGTAATATTAGAATTACCCTAATTATTAAAAACTGTTTTTCATCATTAAATTATTTTGGTAGCTTAACACTAGAGTGCTCGCGCGGGTGACATATGTCACCCAGGGTGTAAAATTTGTAAATATTTTTTCAAGGTATCGAGCTACAGTACTGCCATCTCAGGTATTCTTCGAGCATGTATTGTCGCACATTTTAGTAGTAACGCCATTTTGCTAGACGCATCAACGTGAGTGCAGAAAACATTTAAAGTGTTTGGGTGACGCATGTCCCCCGCGCGAGCACTCGAGGAATTGTTTGATCCCCTAGCGTCGCGGTTTAAAATCAAGTTTACTTTCATGTAAGCTCAAGGATATAATATTTAACCATTTTTTAAACATTTACAATAATTATATTGTTTTATAAGCATAAACTGATGCAAGAAAGTAGTTGTTTTAGATTGTATGCAATGTAGTAATAATTCACCTAGGACTATAAAATTAAAAACCAGGATTCTTCTGGGCTTGCGAGAACACCAACTAGCACAAAGCTTGCCAGTATTGTGGCAAAGGACGATGTGTTTTTTGCACAAGAGCAAGAAATCGAAGCACTCGTAAGCAAATGTAACAAGTGGAATAGGCGTTTTTGTCCAGATCATCAAATCATATCGTGCCCGAGTTGTGATCAAAATATCACAGAATAAGATCAATCTATTGATTAACTTTCTAATTAGGTGATATTTTTGCCAAAATAACGGGTCAAACGACTATTTAAACTACTTTGGTCTCTTCGACTCGAAAATATTGGAAAAATATTGAAGTATTTCTTTTGGTTTATAATAAGAGTTCATAAAAGAATTTCTCACTTTTTTAAATTATTTAGTAAGAAATATAGTTGATGTTTAATATTATAAATTGTTTTACTTGTATTAAATAAGATTAGCAAAAATAAACCCATATCATAATGGGGGACATATGTCACCCGCGCGAGCACTCTAGGAGTATTTAGGGGCGCGAGCACTCTAGTGTTAAAAAGCGACAGGATATAAATTATTTTCGTATTAAGTAATTCATAAGTCTTTTAATATTAACCGTATTACCTTTTCTGACCCCGCGTCTGGCGATGCTAGTCGCGTGTACCCATAGAGAAAAGTGTGTACCTAAAGTTTGTGCTATAGTTGACACGGTAGCAGATTCGAATTCTACTGGGGACATTACTTAATGTGCACGAGCGTTTTTAATCAAAGAATCAGAATCTTAGCTATTTATCTCCATGTAGGGATGTAGGTATACTTAATCACTTTGTTTGTATATTATAATGATTAATAGTTAGTTAAATAATTCACTTCGTCTGAAATGTTTATAAAACTGTTGATATTTTAAAAACCGTGCCGCATGTTGCTACTACTCGTATTACTTAGTGATGACTCTCAAAACGCACGCATGTGATAATAAACCTAAAGCCGGTGCATCAAGAGTCCCTTTACAAGAATGACAAAGAGCCACGTGTTATTTCTCAGTAACTGGGTTCGGTGGACACGGCCACTGCTTACAAGAATGCGTTTGTCAGGGTTTTACTCATGACGCAACAAAAATTAGGACTTACTTAATGAAGCGATCACTATTGTAAATCTCCCACCGATAACGTAGTAGGTATTCTAACTAAAGAGATTTCGAATAGGTATAAGCATTTCAAAATTCATAAAATAATTTTATTTCCAATGCTTGGCTTGGCGAGCTTAGCTGTCTGTCCCGCGTTATTCGTTTATTTTACCGTTTTACGAAGGGTGTGTGTTGCTACCTCGCGTTTCCTGTCCCCCGCCGCGCCGCGGGCTCACGTATATCGTTATAGATAGGGAATCACTTTTCCCTTTCATCTCCAAAATACATACAGACCGTCGCGTCTCGCCTGTTATTATTGATAGATGCGTGTGGGTTTTGAATGATGCAATACTTTTAGGTGCTTCAAATTGTACTTGGATATTTCTTAAAACTTACCTACCTATCTCAGTTTAAGTACCTAAGTAATTAGTAAGTTATGGATGTCCTAAAAGTTGTACTAGGCATGGTGGTGTCTCCAAAAAAAGTTCGCTGTTTGGATTGCATTCTCAAACAAGGGGCAATTCTCAAATCACTTCGATTTTGTGAAATCTTCGAGACACAATAAAATTCCAATAGTAAATTCAACGGTAACAAACTGCAAACTGTTCAATTCATAATGTATTTTTTCAAAACATTTTACAAGTTAGTTGTAAATTCAACCTATTTTTCGTTCGCCTGAAACGCTAAATTATGTAATGATTCGGAAGTGCAGACTGCAGCTGCAGACTTCGCCCCCGATAAATGATTGAGTGACCGCGCTCGATACGGGCTGACCCGTTACGTCGCCACTTTAATGTAAGCGTTAAGAATAAGAATAAGAAAAACTTTATTTGACACAAAAGAAAACAGAAAAACAGAACAAAGGGACTTAAAACTATACACGCATAATATTTTGTGCCAAAAAGGCGCCCGCTCAGCATTAATCGAGCCACGCGTGCATGCACGCGTGCCGCGACGCTGGTTTTCAGCGTTAGGTGTCTTTGTCCTTTGCTAACGTGATTTACATACGAGTATGAGGAAAACTGTGAGCCTATCGAATTCACGGATTCGAACTATACCTATACAGTGCCCGCAGCACGAATAAATATCGTTCTTGTTAGGTATGGTATGGTAATAGTATTAGTTAGTTCGCTTATAACTCAAGAACGGCTGAACCGATTTAGCTGAAAATTGTCAGGGAGGTAGTTTAGAGCCAGGAGAAGGACATAGGATACTTTTTACCCCGTTCGAAATTAAAAAAAAAGTCTGCTTATTTATTGCCATTAAGGCGGAACAAAGTTCGCCGGGTCAGCTAGTTTTTTATGAAAAACAAAACAGAGCGTCTACATTTGTATTCGTATATTCCCGGTTGTCGACACTTGCTTTGGAATACGATTAGATACGAGACTAAATTGCTCATGATGCAGTATACAGGGTGTGACTGCGTTCATTTTTTTACATGATTTAGGCTACTTCCTTCAATGGACGCTGAGCTTCATGATTTACGCCAAGATTTTGACGAATTTCACTTGGAAACTCGATTACTTTAGATGGGATTTGAACCCACGACTTTTCACTTCGATGACTTTTCTGACTAGTGCCCATATTACCTACAACATACATACCTTACATACTTACCTAGCATTGTTTTATTAACGTGAACCGAAGAACCCGGGTTTCACTAAATTAATCGCAGGAACTTTACTGCCCAACATTAAGAAGTAAGAGTAGTGTGTTATTAATTTCGTTTTATGTATTTTAATAAACTAGGAAATAAAACAACGACACCCACTTACATTACACTTATATTTAAATAAAAATTAAATTAACATTTTACATTATTACATTTAATATACATAGCCATTTGTAAAAATTCATATTCGTACAGCTAATATAATATGTATATCAATATGATTGAATGATTGGAGAGTAGACAAAACGATGTAGCATATAAAAATATAGGCGTGGAGGCACATTTTTCGGAAATCTCTAGCGCGGCTAGCTTAGGACAGAATGTAGTCCCGGATTTTGCCTTCAGAGCTGAAGATAATAATGGTGGTATAAAAAGTGGAACTTAAATCATGGGATTTTTTTTCAAACAAATAACACCAGTTGATATTCAATGTTCAGTGTTGTTTAGTCTTATTGAGACAGTGGCGTAGGTACTGTTTATGTCCCGTCCCGTGTTTCGTTCAAGTAGGTTTGGCAAGTTGACACTATTTAATTTCTATACGGTACGCACGTTCGTGTCAAAATAATGAATAAGGCTATCGGTTTTACTTTGAATTGGAGTTTTCTATTCGTCACTTTTTTTTAACTTTTTCAAAGTTTTCTAGCGATCTAAGCTAAGTTGTACAGCCAGATTGACTGATGACCATCATGCTGCCCTTAATTGGGCAATACATCTTTAGGACTCAAGGCGAACAACATTGCAAGGATTTACTAACTGGTAGTTAATATTTTGCCTGCTTGTACACATATTTTTATTGAAAAAACCTTTGTATGATTTAAGTTTCACTCGGTATGGTACTTCAATTTTAAGGCAGAAAGTCCTATTGAATAAAAATTCGACAATACATGTATGTATTGTACGAGTTTTATATTCAGATTTACATATTTTCAGCGGCTTATAAAAAAATAGCGTTGCTCAATATTAAAAATGGACAAAATCTACAGAGGCTCGGTTTTACATCGAATGCTAACATTAAATATGTAAACACATACAATATTCTATGATAGATAACATAAAATACATAATTTATAATTAGTCATCTTGATAATAAATAAACAAAAACAAAAAAAAAACTGTTTAAGGACGGCTGCTAAAAGGTTTTAATATACCTAAAAGCGTCACATTTGGATTAAAAAATTACATTATTTTGTTATACAAAAAGTATTACAAGAACATCGATATTAATATTTCTAGTTGACTTGCCGATTACAAATATTAAACGATAATACATCCATTTTAATTTTAAATGTCTTAAAAATGCCACGTTTTGCAAAGCCCGATATAATTTGGCCCTCGACTTTTCCCATCATTCGTTCCATCTAATAATAAATATCACTAGGATCTATCCATCACTAAATTCGTTCGAATCGGACTTTGCAAACCAAGGAATTATTTAATACACAGCAATATCTGGCGATTTGATATAAGACAAACTCTCTTATTCATAAAAACAAAAACAAAGACCACGACTCTGCTTCGGTTAGCAAGCATCGACTGTCACTTTCTGTCAAATGTCGATTTCGACGAGATGAAAAGAGACATAACAGTATATAACCGAGTGTTGTTTTACTTATTTAGTTTTTATAAATAAGAATGAGAGTATAAATAGCGGTGTTAAAATACTAAACATACCCGTCCTGTGGACTTTGTCCAAATCGTATACAAAAATGCTAGGCTAATGTTTGAACTGTAAGAAAAATTACTTAGACAGCTTATGAGGTCATTGAGCTTTATTGTAGCCACTTAAAAAACCATAAAGACATGAAAAACATTATAACGGTTTACGAGCATTTACCAACATTAAAGGACGAAGCACACTTATCATCCCGGAAACGAATCGTAACCGTATAGAGGCGGTCAGTATTCTTGGTTAGAAATTCCGTTACTGCAACGCATACTTATTCGCATCGTAACGTAAACGCCTCGCCTCGCGATACGGTGTTGATCCCTTTCCGGGTTGATAAGTGTGCTATGACCTTAAGACTGCTTTTAACGACATAAGCTGTCTCTGCATACAGTCAGCATTCTTGCATTGCATTCATTTTTAGTGATATATTGGATCACTGACGTGAAAATATTAAAAAGCAAATACACAGCATGTGTGTAATAGGGATAGCGCCCGCGCATGCGTTAAGGAAAAATATCGCTTCAGCGCAATCAAGCGATTACACACTTTTCTCCGTATTGTTAGTCGATCCTCAAATGTTATAAGACCCAAATTCATGTGTGCCATCAAAGGTTTACAATGCAAGAAAGGTCAAATTGGCGTACACGTCTTGTCAATATTTAGGATCGACGAATATAGATCGTATCATTCACGAAGACGCGCCCCACCATTCTTCCGCTAATGTTTGAGTGTTATCGGTACACGCTAAATTATCCATGAGTGCACACGCACACTACAATAATGACGCTCGGATTGCTCGGATCAAACTCCCCGCACCCCGCGCGATCTCGGCCAAAAATTGGTGGGGCGCGTCTTCGTGGATGAAACGATCTATAATACGGTACACGGCGTAAGAGCAAGCTAGATTGCGGTCAAATACCTGCCTTGTCTAGCATAAAAAAAGATACGCTAGCATAAAATAGGCTTGTTTTTGTATAAAAGGTATAAGAAAAGGAAACCGTTGGACATCAGAATCTTCGGATATTGTGGCCCCCCGCTGTTTCTTGGTGACGAACGGACATGAATGTAGCTTCCATAATGTTTTTCAATCTCATACTCTATGCATGCCTCGAGAACACCATAACGTTAAAACGTAGAATTTAAGTCAGGATTAAAAATGTTTGAATCAATTTATCTGTCTTTTAGGCCCATACAAAGAAATGAGTTCGTGCGGTCTCAAAAGATGTCACACGCCACGAAGCAGTGACGATTTAATATCGACGATTTGGTACTGAAAATTGAATTTTATTGATGTAACCCTTGATGGAACTTCTGAATTTTTCGCAACAGTCTCCTTTAAAAAAATCCAATATGGCCGCTTAAGATAGCGCCATCTGTATATAACATCAAACGTTAGAAGTTCTCGAGCCACGCTTTAGACACCGCGACTTACGAATTTAAATTTATAATTCACATCAGTCTCAAATTCATCTGCAGACACCAAGCTCACAAACTATGAAAGAAATGTTTCAATTTTCATATCGTCTCGTTAACATTGTAAAATACCCATTGGTCGCAACTATATTTCTATACAGATTATCCATTCTAGTTTTGTCTATGGAGTACACCTTTCGAGAACTTGTCAATGGTTTGAACAATCTTTTCGATTCATATTTTATGTAAAAATGAAACTAAAGAATAAATAACACTTGAACAAAACAATTGTAATCCAATAGTCACTCCACGGAAATGTTGAATAGTTACAAACCATAGATTTAACGTTAAAGTATCTTGTCTCTGGTCATATTTCATAACCATAGACAATCGCTCAATAGTGAAGGCACTGTCATTATCCCGAGATGGACGACAGGATTTTATTTATAAATAAATTAAAATAAATCTTAGTGCTTGAGTACACCACGTACTTTTTTTACTCGCGCCATCAACGCGAGTTTTAAAGCCGGATTTATTTTGTCTGACGTGTTTGACGTCACGTTTGTTGTGACGCATCAGAACGGGACACACAACACTAGTGTATGAAACCGATTCCGTTCTGGAGAATCACGACACAACACGAATAAATAAAAATCCGGCTTTAATCGCGCACTGTCGGCGCGTTTAAAAAACGTGGAGTGCACTGCAAGGCTACTCCAAAAGCTGTTCACGTTGTTTCAAGTCTAGCTGTCACCGTCGCTCACGCTAGCATATCGCTTTGCGTGAGAGGGATGGCAACTTTCGAAACTTCGTATAACGTTTTTCGTAGTAACCCCTTAGGCCCTAAAGATTGTCCAAACTTTTGGCAACTCACAAAGCTAATCATACAAGTTAATGCGCCTGGCTTTCCTCGTCTCCGTTGCTTTCTCCGTTGATGATCGGCGGCACGGGCGGCTTGATAGGGGGCGCTGGTATCACCTGCAAGAGCGAGACGCAATTAGTTGGAGCGAGAGGGATGTAGAGAACACAACATTTAGTGCCATCTATTACACAGTGAAACTGGATCTATAGGGTAAGTTATCAGTTTATCACAGATGACTTATTTTTATGTTTTGTAGTAAATAAGCCGGTTATAACTATGGATTATAAAACATGCTGTAATAAGCTGATAGCTGTAATTTAACTAACTTTAGGAATGCAAATGAAAAACAGTTGGAACAATGATTTAGTTTTTAATCACAGCATACTTACAGCAACGTGACGAGGGAAGTGTTCCATACAAGCGATATTTGTATGAAACGCAGACGGAACGCATGTGACTCGGCGGATTCATACAAATATACACTAATGGAACACACCCCACGAACACCATGTAATAATGTGATACCTTTAAGCCAATAGTAAAAAAAAACTCTAAAAGCCCCAAGTAAAGAAAGTTAGACTAATCTGTGCACCCATAGACAAACCGCACCAACACCAGAAAACAAAAAAGAAAGAAATTTTTTCAGCCAGTGACAACCCAAAATTAAAAAACAAACTAATAAAAGGCCCCCACCAAATTTGGAAAAGAATAAAGACTTAACTTTAAGATTTCATGTCTTCTTGAATTTGTGAATGCGAGTTTTCTGTTTTCAAATGCGTTAGTTGGGATGGAGCCTTGGTAAATTATATGATTTGGAAAACAAATGTACACACATTAAATTAAATATAGGACAATAGACCACGCGTATTCTCTTAAAATAAATTCGTAAGCTAAATTATTTCATAAAGTCAAATAAAAAAGTAAAAAAAGGTTACTACCTAAGTTAAAAATTACACTAGTTTTTACACAAAACTTAATTAGTTAGCGCTTAAAATAATTTTGATTGTTGCGCTAAAATTTTAGATATTTTGAGACAATAAGAGATTAAAGTCATAATATTTGTTCAAGAAAATTTTATATGTTGTTCAGTAAAGGTTTAAATTCAAGAAGAAAAAATATTTTTTTACAAAAACAGTCATTAAAGATTTACATTTACAAATATGTCGCAGTCATGTTGACATTTCAATGTAATGGGTCGTGGTTTGTCAACCACAGATTGGCAGGCAGTTAAATCAAAGACCGGACCATAGATATTAAGGACAAAATTGCGAATAGACAACATGTATTGGTGGGCTATCCTATTCCATTGAATATTTCGACCTTTCAGAATTGTGATAGATGGATAAATTTTGAATATTTTAAACTGCCCAATCGGTTGGGGCTACTCCATAATGTCGTTTACGTCTTTTCAGGTCTGTCTATCGCTATCGCTCATATCGGAATCTCGCTTCGAGTGAGAAGGATGGACAGATGCAGAAATTCGGTAGAGTTGCTTATTTATATCGACGACGTGTTTATTTAGTTTTTTCAATACGATGTTCAACTTTCGTCGAAAGTCTTTCGACAATCAAAGATCGGATTCCGGCCGAATTTTTCAACACAATGCCATCTTCGCTAGTGAGATAAGCTGGACTTCTCTTTATTAATACTATTTGTACCTTAATTGTCTCTGTGAATAAATCTTTGTATATAAAAACAACATGACTGGCAACACATCCATAAAGTAAACCATAGACAACCTAGCCCAAGGCCCCTCCCTAGTCGTCATGCGGCACTACTCTACGCTAGCTAGGCATGCTCGCATCACTCTTTGCGTACGTGTCCTCCGCGCCGTCCTCCTCCGAGATCTGTTGTGAACCAAAAGGGGGGTAAATAGGGGGTAAACTGGGGTTTAAGTTGTTTTGGAGCAATGTTAGATGATTTAATTTATAGTCTGGTCGCTGAGCACGTAGAATTTTGTCCATTGACCCAAGCTACCCAATCTTATCGCTCACGCGTAATTATATTGCTTTTGCGCTCGCACATTCACTGCGGGCGCCCGTTGCACAGTCGCGACAGCAATATAATTACGCGCGAGCGATAAGGATGGGTAGGTTAGGGTCAATGGACAAAATTCTACGTGCTCAAAGACCGGGCTTTAGACGTGTTTAGTATTAAGTTTGATTATTTTGAATTATTTTTATAAAAAACATATTCAACTGAAATGGTCAATACAAAAAGGTAAACATTGCTTGAGCTTGTATAAGTATTTATATCAAAAAATTATTGAATTAAAAGTCATGGAATAAGATTTACTCGTAATATTAACATCATATGCATTTACATTTTGAAAAATTAGAGCGTTTATTGAAAAAGAAATTAAATGAAACTGGGATCCACAACAGATTAAGAATTTAAAAGTAAGTTTTATAGGAAAAATTAAAAAAAACATTGCTGAAATAATAAAGCGAGGCATGCACAGACAGCGATAAAATAAAACTGTTAATTTTACGCACTGAAAAACAAGTGTACAGAAACATCAATAAGCAGTGTGTTAAAAATAGTGAGTTCAATAAAATTATACCTTATTTATAAATCATTATAATATACAAAGTAGCAGACGAAGATCGTTGTTAATCCTTTTGTAGATTGATATTTTATAGCGAAAGCAGAGCAGATACCGCTTGTAGTGAGGTATTGATTGTAAAAGCGCTTTTTATAAGCATGTGCGCAAATTATTTTTTAGACGACCTTTACGTTCAGAAGTTATCGACAGTTGACAACTAATTAATTATTATTTCTGTCATATTGAAGATCATTTTTAACTATGTACTTTTCATACATAGATTGTTTTGTTTCAATGACCTGCATTGGGATCTTTTATTATGTCCCTTGTGTCTCACTATAAAGGTCTTTTACAGGTAAAACGATACCTATTACTTAAAAAGGTAATTTGAGTGGCGCGTCTTGATGACACACAGGCAGACTTTAGTTCTTATTCCTTATACCATTACGAGTCATTATCGCGTGCGCATTCTCTATCTACACAACGCACACTAAAGCCTGGTCTGCGAGCACGTAGAATTTTGTCCAATGACCCCATTAATTAATTACGTAGAATTTTGTCCAATGACCCCACAAATAAATTTACGCGCGAGCGATAAGGATGGGTAGCTACCCATCCTTATCGCTCGCGCGTAATTAATGTTGCTGTTGTGCTCGCACACTCACTGCCGCCCGTCGCACAGACGCGACAGCAATAGATATAATTACGCGCGAGCGATAAGGATGGGTAGCTTGGGGTCATTGGACAAAATTCTACGTGCTCACAGACCAGACTATAGTTTTATAACCGCGTGCTCTGCTCATGCGCAAGTTGTTGTGCTAAAACGAGTCTTATTTCTACGGCATTGAAGTGCAACAGTTTAGGCGTGCATGTCGGTGCTAATGCAAGCCTTATTTCTACTGCGTTAAAGTGCAACTTAGGGGATTACGAACATTATCGGGACGGCACGGCAAAGAATTTTCAGGTGACGAATAATAATAGGCTGGCCGGTATTCCTAGGCATGTATGTGCGTTGCTGAAACCATTAACATTTCAATTTCGACCGTAGCGTTAAAATTATAAGGTAGTTATTATAAAAATCCTTGCGGTGCCATTCCGATAATGTGCGCAGTCCTTTCTAGAAGGTTTGGGGCGGTGAGTGTCGGAGCCAACAAGAGCCTTATTTCTACAGCAATAAGGTGCAACTCACAGAGGGTTCGAGACGGTACATGTCGGTGCTAACAGAGTAAATACAAATGAGTAGGTCATCTTCATAGAAACGCACCGAGCTAAATTTTGTCAGTGTGTGCGTGCTAGAGATGAGACGTATTTACTAGAACAGATCCACACACTAGGTATTTTACAGTACTAGGCGGCACCTATTCCATTTTAAAAAATACTTGATCCACCTAGTATTTTATAAATTACACGATTTCCGACCCAACCCTGAAAGTAATAGAGGTTATTATTGAATAATCCGTAGTCGTGTATTAAGCGCACCGAGTATTTCTCGCTAAGCTTATGTGCGAACGTAGAGATTCACTCCGTCTCTGTCTGACCAAACAAATTTGAGCGCGACGAAGCAAACGCACACAAACGTAGTCAAACCATATTCATGTAAATAAGAAAAAAGTATGTAAATATTTTTATGAAATTGATATCTTTTAAATACGCCAACTTTTAAGTTGACAGTCCAAAGCCTGTTGAAGTATGAAGGGATGAATTATATTATTATTCAATTTCAAATTGCATTATTCATACTACGGTTGTATCTTTTCAAAGAAAATTGTATTTTAAAGTCATATTACTTGGATTAGTCCGCACTAGTCGCGTCAAGTATGCTAAATTACTACGTACTAGGTGGAACAGGTATTTGGAGTCGAACAGGTATTTCGAGTATTAATAAATACTTGGAATAGGTGCACCTAGTATCAAATTTACCTAGTATAACCCATCTCTAGTGCGTGCGCGCCGCATACGTATTGGCGCGCTCACATACAAACCGCGCTCGTGCGTTTCTATGAAGATAACCTACTCATTTGTATTTACTCTGGTGCTAACAAGACCCTTATTTCTACTACATTAAAGTGCAACTCATAGAAGGTTTGGAGCGGTGCGTCGGTACTAATATGAGCCTTATTTGTACAGCATTAAAGTGCAACTCATAGAAGGTTTGGGGCGGTGCATGTCGGTACTAATATGAGCCTTATTTGTACAGCATTAAAGTGCAACTCATAGAAGGTTTGGGGCGGTGCATGTCGGTACTAATATGAGTCTTATTTCTACGACATTAAAGTGCAACTCATAGAAGGTTCGGAGCGGTGCGTCGGTACTAATATGAGCCTTATGTCTACAGCATTAAGGTGCAATTCACAGAGGGTTCGAAGCGGTACATTCGGTGCTAACAAGACCCTTATTTCTACGACATTAAAGTGCAACTCATAGAAGGTTTGGAGCGGTGCGTCGGTACTAATATGAGCCTTATTTGTGCAGCAATAAGGTGCAACTCACAGAGGGTTCGAGACGGTACATGACGGTGCTAACAAGAGCCTTATTTCTACGACATTAAAGTGCAACTCATAGAAGGTTTGGAGCGGTGCGTCGGTACTAATATGAGCCTTATTTCTACGACATTAAGGTGCAACTCACAGAGGGTTTCGGGCGGTGCGTGTCGACGGCGGCGACGGACAGCTTGATGTGCTCCTCGCGGCAGCCGTAGGCGACCGGCGTGAGTTTGATCACCGTGTGCAACGGCACGTGTAAGTAGGGCAGCTCCTCTGGAAAGGTTCATGGTGTTGTTAGAAATTGCCGCCATTTTGAGAGAGAGAGAGAGAGAGAGAGGGAGGGAGTGTCTGAAATAATAAAAATAACAAAATGTACGTGCACGCAAGCATTGCTCCCGTCAAGATTCAATGGGTTTGCCCCACTTTTTTGGTAAGGAAAACCGATTGATGGACTTCGTGACGCTAAAGAAGCACTTCCACCAGCAGACTTTTGAAAAAAGCTCAATGACGCTATTAGGTCTCTTATGCCCGTTTTCACCATCAATCCCTAATTTTTAAGTGACCCCTATGGTAACACATAACAGGAATTTTGTTTTCATAGGGGTCACTTAAAAATTAGGGATTGATGGTGACAACGGGCATTAAACACTTGTACCAGCACCAGACACTCACCAGTACACTTGTCGAGGCAATAAATGTGCAGACGCCTCTTTACGATCTGGTGAAAGACAATGAGGACACTCGGCTTCGTTCTCCAAGTCACCAGATCTCACAAGCACCTATCTATTATCCTAGCAACACTAGGCACTCACCGGCAGACTTGTCGAGGAAATAAGCGAGCAGACAGCGCATGACGGCCAGGTGGGAGACGACCAGCACATTCCCCTGGCGCTCCAACTCCATGATGACTGGTTCCGAGGTCTCTTGCAGTAGCATCACTTAGTAAATCACTTGTCGAGGAAATAAACGTCCATATCGGCCTGGTGGAAGACAATGAGGACACTCCTGGTACTTTAGCCGCGTCTCCAGGTCTCACAAGCACCTATCTATCAGCCTAGCAACACTAGGCACTCACCGGCAGACTTGTCGAGGAAGTAGGCGAGCAGACAGCGCATGACGGCCTGGTGGGAGACGACTAGCACGTTTCCCTGGCGCTCCAGCTCCATAATAACTGGTTCCAGGCGCGCCACCAGATAACATGCACTTACAGGAGCTCCAGAAACTTGATTGAATCCACCTTGATCACGGCCTGATGGAATAATGACACTTGTCTCGTTCTCCAGGTCACCAGGTCTCACAAGCACCATCCTATCCTAGCAAAATTTCGCACTTACCGGCAGACTTGTCGAGGAAGTAGGCCAGCAGACAGCGCATGACGGCCTGGTGGGAGACGACCAGCACATTTCCCTGGCGCTCCAGCTCCATAATAACTGGTTCCAGACGCGCCACCAGGTCTTCATAGCTCTCTCCACGCGGGTACCGGTACGCGAATTTGTTGGCGTCGCGGGCGTTGAAGTCGGAGGGATACTTCTCCTGTATCTCCGCGTACGTCATTTCTTCGCAGATACCCTGGAACCAAAGGTGCCTTGATGAAACTTTCGTGGACCAATAACTGTGGTTTTAGACGGTGCAGGTTAGAATCTAACCATTTGCGACGACAGTGTGTCAATTTTCAATTAGACTAACATAGAAGATGAAAGATGTCACATTGTCGTCGCAAATGGACGAATGACAAAGGGACAGTGAAAATAAAAAAAGAACACAAACGAATCTCTGATGGGAAACACAGGAGACTGTTCAAAGAATAAATAGATCTCAGGGTATCAGTGGACCTTTTGATATATCTCGCGGAAATCTCGGTTATTGATTGCTGACATTCATAACATGACACACGACAGTTATAAATAATGAAAGCGTCGACATAAATTCATGGCATCAATCTTGTTAAATGCCTTCCTTCTTTAGTCAGGACTCTGAAAAAATATTTTTCCAGCTTTCCTGCATTCGTCAGGACAAGTATTATCTGAAAGAAGACACATTTTCCGGCAGCTTCAAGCATCAAGCACTTACGGCATCAATTTCATTCAGGGCCTTCCATCTTTCCTGTGGCGCTTTGACGTCCTTCACAGTCTGTATGGCGCGACGCATCCAGGAGGTCCAGACACGGAGCCCTGGTATTTGCTGGGTATCGATATAACCCGCTAGGGCTGCGGCGTACTGGCGCCCGCGCGCTGATAAGGAGCTGTCGCCGCCAATGCGGCCTACTGTGTTATGGAGGCTTTCACCGTGCTGAAAACATACGTATTTACGTAATGTATGTACATTGATACGGTAAGTAAGAAACAAGGATTTTTCAAAATTAAATTATGATTTCGCGTATAGTCTGCGCGACTATGCGACGGGCGCCCGCAGTGAGTGTGTGAGCGCGACAGCAATATAATTACGCGCGAGCGGTAAGGATGTGTAGCTTGAGGTCATTGGACAAAATTCTACGTGCTCACAGACCGGGCTTTAGTTTGAACATTAAGCCAGTGTCAAGTAAACAACTAATAATTCATACATAAAAATGATGTTCTAAGCGTTTGTGAAGTTAGGGCGTGTAGAGAAGCTTGGCTCATCATCTGATAACTTTTTGACAGTGCGAGTCATATGGACTCGTTTTGGTAACATTTTACATGAAAATGATTTTGGTTGGTGGGATTATTTATTATTTTGATATTATCGTCTATCTAAAGCCTTTTTTTTATGTGACAGGAGGCAAAAGGGCAGACGGATCACCTGATGGTAAGTGATTACCGTCGCCCATAGACACCCGCAGTCCCAGAGACGTTACAGTTGCGTTGCCAGATAAGCCACACAACTATTGCTAGCAGTAGCTTATCGATTTCCAAACATGATGTTATCGATACTCTATCGATATTATTAATAAAATAGCCGGAATATCGATATTCAATGGTCACTGAATGAGCGTAGCCCTAGCCATAAAATTGGAATAGAATACCAAAAACGCGGGACGTTTGTTATAAATTGTATAAATTTGAGTCAGTTTTGACTGTGTTTTATAGCAAAATAGTCCGATTATAGACCGAGATTAAACGCCACTGTGATTAGCTTAATATGTTGTCATCCGTACCTAATTAGGAAAAAGCTTTTTGTTTAGTGATTACAACATAAATAACACTGAACAAACTAATAATAATCAAGAATGATAGACATACCAAGGAACCGGTTTCTTAACTACCATGCTAAATTACTCATTTTGCATGTACCGGTTTGTAAACAAAGCCATTAGCTGCGTGACCGATTAATAAATCAAATATTGATAAACATCACTTATCAACGCTAATGTAAACACAGTTTCTATGGACAAGTCGCGAATTATCTTGAGAGGTATTTTACATTATTTATTCAATCGCTAAGGTGTTACTAGGTCAGTAGCAAAAACAGTGATGATTAAGGATGAAAACTTCTCACCATTCACTTTATTTTCGACCTACAATCCTTTTCAGTGATTAAGAAAATTTAAAAGAGACTGTCTTGGTTTTAGAGAAATATCTATATTTTATGTTGATTTTTTTTAAGATTTCACCTCAATTGAACTCTATATTTGTTTACTTTCTGTGATAACTCTACTGCGACGCTAGCGTGTTAAAATTAATTAAATATGCGTCAGACAAGACAGGATTTAAATAAAATTTTGTTCAGCATTAACTTTACCCAATAAATTGACTGCACCAGGCATCAAACCTGCAGGGCTACTCCGAAAAACGTTAGCTAAAGTTTCGAATGTTGCCATCCCTCTTACGCAAAGCGAGAAGCCAGCATGAGCGACTGTGACAGATAGACCCGAAGCTACGTATAGTTCCAAAATACTAAACTGTCCTATCCATGACATTGACAGTTGGGCGCCACCGTCAATACCGGATCGCTGGTTCCGATTTTTGCCATGTTGGAAACCATATAGTTGAACGATGGTAGCGCCCCCCTGTCATTGAGTTTGGTGGGACAGTTCAGCGTGGGTCATCTATAAACAGCGTTACGGATCCTAATGCTATCCACTAACATTGGTCGAGCTAATAGCTGTAGCGCTTAACTGATTAGTGCCTGACGTAAGGGAGTGGCACGCGAGGGTGTTTTTTGTTTTGCCAAATGTCAGATCTTCAGATTTGTATCCTCTTTCACGTCATAATATGTCAAAATTACCCCTCCCGTGCCACACTCATACTTCAGGCACTAAGCTGTCTCCGTTAAGCTTCGGCCAAACCAACGCGTGTAGCTCAGACAAGACACGTTGATGTGAACTCATCGCTACAAATTCATACACGACATCTGTGGCCTGTAATCACGTATTTTGACACAGTCAAAATCTCGTTGACGTTTAAAAGCCGTCCTATTGAAATTCGTATTCACAAGGGTCATTTTGATAGAACGATTACTCGTTAGGATCGCAACTCAGCGTTTTTTGTCGTTGAAGTTTTTTTACGTGAATAAGGCTACTGATCGCCATCGCGCACGAAGGCTGCACGCGTTGGTTTGGCCGAACCTTTAAGCGCTAGATCTATAGATACATGAAAGTTCTTACCCTCGTGAGGTATATCGTCCGTGGCACGATGTGTATGTTCATTAAGTAGTACACGATCCGGCTCTGAATGTGGCCCTCGTGCTTGTGAACCACTACCTGTTAACAAATACGTTGCTTTCATTAAACACGTGAAATTACTAATATATTTTAAATAACAATAAATTAGTGTGAAGCAATCGAAAAGTATTAGAATACACGAGGAGTAGGAATAGAAGATTATAAAGTTGTTAAACTAAAGCCCGGTCTCTGAGCACGTAGAATTTTGTCCAATGACCCCAAGCTACCCATCCTTAACCCTCGCGCGTTTTTATGTTGCTATTGCGCTCGCACACTCACTGCGGGCGCACGTCGCACAGTCGCGACAGCAATATAATTACGCGCGAGCGATAAGGATGGGTAGCTTGGGGTCAATGGACAAAATTCTACGTGCTCAGCGACCAGACTACAGGAAAAACGTCTTCTAATCGTATCATGCATAAGATGAATAAACATGGGTCATATTTATAAAAATAAGAATAACATGGCATGGCAATAAGAAGAAACTAAATCAGCAATGAATTAGTTTTCTAAGCAATAATTTAATAAATTGTTAGTAAAAGCTAAAAAGATATTATTTTATTAGTGTACAGATATCTAAACTAATAATATAAAGCTGAAGAGTTTGTTTGTTTGAACGCGCTAATCTCAGGAACTACTGGACCGATTTCAAAAATTCTTTCACTGTTGGATATGTACGCGATCTCTGAGTACTATAGGCTATGATGTACTACGGGGGAAGCCGGGGCAGACCGCTAGTCTATATTATATAAAGCTCGATTCCTACTCACTGACTGACTCACTGATCAGGGGTATTTTTGGGGTATTTAGAGGGGAGACTTGTTAAAGGATTTTTGGTGTATCTGTAATATCATGTAAAAATCATCATACAAAAAAGTGTTATCGTTTACCAGATTAATTGAGTTGCCGACAGAATGGAGTTAAGATTCATACCAAATCTATTGGAGAATCCTAGTTTAAAGCTTTTCAATTTTTAATTATGTCTCACTCTATTTGAGCATTTTGAGCTCGTTGGTGAAAAAAGGTTAAGATTATATTTATTTAATTAAAATGGATGGAGTAGGTGAATGCATTTGTTATTATTACGATTTGATGATTTAGACGTGGTTTTCGGCAAATGATTTGATTAGATAGTATTTTATGTGTAAATTCACCGAAGGGCATGCAATAAGTCAACTTTATAAACTTTTGTTACAGTACATTTTTAAAGTCCAACAGTAACTAGCAAGAGATTTTGAAATCTAAATAGATATTTTAAAAAGTTTAAATCCATTGTAGTACTTTTTTACATGCAATAGGTCGAAAATTGGCATAGATATAGGAGCAAATAGTAATACATAAATAAATGGATTGGACTACTACTACTACATAATGATGACAATAATAAATAAAAAATAAATTAAAAACCAACCAACCAATTGTTAACATAGACATAAGAAGCCCCTAAATCTACCCCCACCAAAGAAAGAGTGCCCTACATACAGTTTTCATCACCTTCTCTCCGGTGTCATAAATCTTCATGAAGCTGTACTCCGACTCGAGCCGCTCGTCCAGCGGTTCGTATTTCTCTTTGTAATGCTCTATCCTGAGCAGAAAGTCGTTTAGCACGTTGTCCGTGTTTTGGATGTTTGTGTAGTCCGGGCTGCTTACTTTTACTTCCTGGAAATAAAAAAACATAATTTTATTTTTCGTAAATCCGTCAACGAACTAAAGTCGCTGACATAGCCCGACGGATTAGCAAGCTGAAGTGGCAATGGGCAGGGCACATAGTACGCAGAACTGACGGCCGATGGGGCAGCAAGCTTCTGGAGTGGAGGCCGCGTACCGGAAAACGCAGCGTGGGACGTCCACCTACAAGGTGGACCGACGACATAGTAAAGGTAGCAGGGAAGCGCTGGACGCAGGCCGCAGACCAATCGATCAACGTGGAAAGCATTAGGGGAGGCCTATGTTCAGCAGTGGACGTCCTATGGCTGAAATGATGATGATGATGATGATTTTATTTTTGCAAGTAGGCTTTATGAAAGCACTTTTAGCCACAGCGCACATTGGGCGACTCCGCGACGACAAGCTAATACTATGAAATGATGCGCGTATGCGTTTTGTGGCCGCGTCTGTCGCTGCGTTTTGTATTTACTTTGGTTTCGTTGCCCAATGTGCGCTATTAACCCTACCACTTCATCGGGACAATAAATGGGCCAGTGCTGTACGTCATAATGTTATACCTACTCAGGCACTTACTTGGTTATGCGCTATCTATACCTATAGTAGTTAAAGAGATGGACTCTCGATTGTGAGGACCTGGGTTTGAGACCCAGATGAAACGAATATTAAAAATTACTTTTTTTAATTATTTGATTATACAAAAACAAATGCTTTGGGTCATTGGATGTCATGTACAATCATGTTAGTCTGATAGAGCCATGTCAGTCATCGTGACTCGTAAAGTTGTGACCTGTTTATTTATTTTTAATTAATTTGTCCGCTTCAAACCACATAGAGATGAAACATATTCAAATCAAGAATCATTTCATAACCATATAGTCCAGTCAATAAAGCATTATAGATGGAAAACTGTAGAACACAATTTCTGACCTCGGGACTTTATTTAGCCTAGTTAGGAGGTGAACATAGCAAAAGTCCCCGCCCTTAGCCCTTGAGCCGGCGGGGAGAGGGGGGTTTAAAGGTACCACTTTTCGGTTTTTCGCTTAATCCTCGGAAACTATGCGTCCTAGTGACATGACTACTATGAACCAAATAAAGCTTATTCAATTTGCTACAGGCGAGACCGTCAAGTTTTTCTATATCTTGTATAGTTTTTGCGGCATCTGCTCTAGAAGGTCTGTAAAATTGGAAATTTTATTTTTGTCTTATGTGTTTCTATCAGGAGAAAATCGACTAAATCAACATTGAGCAAACACTATAGACATGCGGGAGCATGTTAAGCCTAGTTCCAGGGAGGGGACTGCACCGTGCGTATATTTAGACGAACCAATTGTAGCCACTTTTGACTCCTCATCATTCAAAAACTACTGTGCATTAACACTTCAAATTTGGCTCATATGTTGAGACTTGCAAGATATACATCAGCTTCAAATTTCATAAATATGCCTTAAACGGTTCTTTAGGTATTGACGTCCAAAAATCTACATGTCTGACCTATAGACCAAATTCTAACCACTTCCAGATGACCTCGAAGGTTCAAATTTTGCATCCAGAAAAGTAGTTATGTAAATACAAAGGAACAAATAAAAAACCAGTAAATTTTAACATTTCACAGGTGATAGATAGATTTTAGTGTTCTAAATGTCGATTTTTGAACGTCAATACCTAAATAACCGTTTGAGGTATATTTATGAAATTTGAAGCTGATGTATATCTTGCAAGTCTCAATACATGAGCCAAATTTGAAGTGTTAATGCACAGTACTTTTTGAATGATGAGGAGTTAAAAGTGGCTACAATTGGTTCGTCTAAATATACGCACTGTGCAGTCCCCTCCCTGGAACTAGGCTTAACATGCTCCCGCATGTCTATAGTGTTTGCTCAATGTTGATTTAGTTGATTTTCTCCTGATAGGAACATATAAGACAAAAATAAAATTTCCAATTTTACAGACCTTCGAGAGCAGATGCCGCAAAAACTATACAAGATATAAAAAAACTTGACGGTCTCGCCTGTAGCAAATTGAATAAGCTTTATTTGGTTCCTAGTAGTCATGTCACTAGGACGCATAGTTTCCGAGAATTAAGCGAAAAACCGAAAAGTGGTACCTTTAAACCTCCCTCCCCCCGCCGGCTCAAGGGCTAAGGGCGGGGACTTTTGCTATGTTCACCTCCTAACTAGGCTAAATAAAGTCCCGAGGTCAGAAATTGTGTTCCACGGATTTCTCTCTACACCGTCGTTAAGGCATTCATTGACTGGACTAATACTTAAACTAAAACTTTGTATAATTCCTAGAAAATGCATTTGTTTGCTTAAATAAAGGATAACAAAAGTAAATACCTAGTCCATAAACAAGCAAAACCAAGTCATGTGCAAACTGCAAAGTAAAGAACTTTGCACAACACATTTCATATGTAAACAGGTGGGCATGTGACACTGCGCATCGCGCATCAATTGAGTTAGCAACACGCGAGTTCAATGCGGTGACCTTAAACTTGCTACTGCGCCGAATGGACACAATGGACAGACGGTATGTGACGAAACGACGCATCGTATGCATAATCAATAAATTGAACTCTTAGATTAGGCGCAGACCACCGATTTTTAGCTGTCGGGCTGTTGATCAGTTTTGAAAGTGCGCATATTATACCGATTTGGTATCAACCGACTCTTCATACAAATTAGAATCGAGCCCAACTATCGGCCAACTAAAAGTCGGTGGTCTACGCCTATGTTGAAGATGATGATTTTAAATCATCTACGAAAACGTGGCCCATTTTTGTTTGTGCTCATAAAAAGTATATCTATTCTATTGCATGGTAACGAGATTAATTCAATCTCGAGAAACTATCGAGAAACTATAACCCAATCGTTCAATGTAAATCGGGCGATGTTGGGCTGAGTTTACTACTTGAACTTGAATTTCATCAAACTATACAAATGGGTATGTGAGATATTAGGCCTTTTTCAAATAATTAGTTTTAAGCCAGACGTTATTCGTCCGTTTGCAGAACTACAGATGGAAAATTGTATGATAGGCTACTTTGGAATAAAAAAATGACAAGGGCTGAGTTGCACCACCTAACTTTGACCGTAACTATGTATAACGATAGCCGGTGTATTTTATATGGAGTTTGTCAAATTCTTGACGTTTGTTAAAGTCAAAATTAGATGGTGCAACTCAGCCTTAGTGTGCGGTCTTGCAAACGCACGGCTGACGTCCTGCTAAAAACGTCTAATTTGATACAGCATAAGGCCCAGAACAGACGGTGAAACGCAACTACAACGAAACTGCAACTATCTGAAGATTCCGATGAATGAAACTGAAAGTTTCAAACTGGTCGCGTCATGTGTGGTTTCTCAACGGACGCTATGGCAGAAACTTAGATGCAACTCAAAAGTAACTAGCAGTTGCAGTTTCGTTGCAGATGCGTTTCACCGTCTGTTCTGGCCTAAGGGTGTAGTGAGTACTCACCATAATATTCTGCTCAATGATCCGCGGGTCGTCGCAGATGGACTCCACGAAGAACAGCTTGAAGCCCATCTTGTGCACCACGATGTCGCGGATCATGCGCCGGCGGTCGAGCGTCGAGTTCGTGGCGTCGAACACCTGGAAATAGCATTCTTTGTTTAAGGACGTAGGTAATAAGAACCATTTTTGCAAATTATATCAATCGATTAGCACGTCTAGCGGTCACAGAGTTCAAACTTCCGAATCAAATACAGTTTGTAGTCAGTTCAATAGATCTACATGTTAATGTGGGGTTAGCATCTACTAGATGACATAACTAGATTAGTTTTTAGATATCGTCTCTTGTCATCATCTTTTTATTGGCTCGGTGCAACTGTACCCTTAAAAATGTTGACGTCTCAGTCAGTCAGGTCTTTTCTGCACTCCCCAAGATATGCGCCTTGAGCTTGGCCCAAGCTCAAGGTAACTAGGGTGGTGGATGCTTGGGCATCCACCACCCTAGTTACGCCACTGTTGCTATCTGGCAACTTGAAATCAAAATCAAAATTATCTTTATTTGTTTAGACTAATTAAATTAGTTCTTGCAAATCGTCAAATGCTCTTAAGGAGCCTATACATGTCTCATTCTTTTTTTGCCCTACCACTGCTACTACTTGAGGGACCATTCTCTTGCTTTACACCTGCTGTTGCTATATGGCAGGGGTGGCCAAACTTTTGAAATGTGAGGTCTTATGCTCGAAAATATTTCTTGCGGTCGACTGCAAGGTAGTAGAAGAGTGAAATAAAACATTTTAGCAGAAACAATACCCACGTTACGACTGACCGAAGCGTATGAGTACCTTTATTTATAGGTAGATAGACAGTCAATGTTCTTGGCGCGAATAGTACATTTTAAAATAAGTTCAGTTTATTTAACTCTCGCGGGCTACCAAAATCGTCTTCGCGGTCGACCGGTAGACCGCGGTCGACCTCTTGGCCATCACTGCTGTATGGTATACTCACGGCCACTTCTCCACCTTTGACGAGCCACTCGCAGACATCGTGTAACGCATCGAGCGCACATTGCTGACGGATGGCCATCGCTTCCTTGTTGTCGGCGCGGAAGAACTCATGGCTGGTGTAGGCGGTGGTTGCATGCCGCCTGTACTCGCCCAGGTTGAAAACTAAACAAAAAAATAAGTTTTCATAAAAAAAAATGAGATAAGAACTGATTTAGGAATCTTCGTTTGTTTTTTGTGTTGGACAAAGGCCTCAATTTCACACAACAATCGGTACGCTACCCGTATTCAAGTGCCTTCTGCGATCTTCACTAGATCGTCGGTCCACCGAGTGGGAAGCCTGCCTACAATACATCTTCCAGTGCATGGTCAGCACTCCAAAACTACTTGCCTAAATAGCTATGATAAAATATAGACTACTAGCTTTCAGCCCGCGGCTTCGCCCGCGTGGAATTTTGTCTGTCACAGAAAAACTTTATCGCGCGCGTCCCTGTTTCAAAAACCGGGATAAAACTATCCTATGTTCTTTCCCGGGACTCAAACTATCTCTATGCCAAATTTCATCAAAATCGGTTGCGAGGTTTAAGCGGGAAAGCGTAACAGACAGACAGACAGACAGAGTTACTTTCGCATTTATAATATTAGTTGGGATTAGTTGGGATGTTTCTATTTATATTAAAATATTCTAGACTGAATTGGTGTCTTGTTTTTAATCTATATTGATATTACAAAAACATTATGTTGTTTACCTGTTTATAATTGCAGAAAATAAATTAAAGGGCATAATAATAGTTGAATCATGTATATTTTTCTACTGATAAAAAGTTGGTACCTAATCCTTTAAAGAAACTATTGGTTAGAGAAATGTTTACATGAATCACTGAGATTATTGCATGCAGAGCAGCAGTAGATTTGCAGGAGAGTTGTAACAAAGCCGATTTCGCTGCATCTATAACGGTTAGAGAGTTGACAATTTCCCACAAGCTCATAAACTGTCATAGGTAGCCCCCAAATAAAGAAGGCAAAGGCAGGTTCAGAGAATTGACTTTATCTACAAGACTCCTCAGTCTCCCGTACCTAGGGTTGCCAGGTCCAAAAACACAAAAGCCGGACTCTGTGCTTCATTTGGCCGGAAATTGAGTGCAATTATTAGTGTCATAGCTCACGAGTGAGTACTATCATCATCGGTTGCCGAACGTCCTGATGCGTGCGCTTCATATTATTGTGGCTCGACTTTCGCCTGGCGCGGCAGCCAAATAAAAAGCCTAACAAAAGCCGGACAGGCCGGACCGTAAAAAGCATCAGAATGTACGCACCTCTTGTGTTAATCCCTATCCAGTTCAGGTACCGTGACAGCTTCTTGGAGATGTACGTCTTGCCGCGCGCCGGGAGCCCCACCATGGCGATCACGTGCGGTATGTTCACATAGTTCGCGCGTTCACCTGGAAACAACAAAGTTTACATTATAGTCTTTAATGTTACATTAAAAGCGAGAGGTCACTGACTGACTCACTCGTCACGAAATCTCAAAAACTGTAACACCTACAAACTTGAATTTTATCAGGTACGTTCCTTATAGGTTGTTCTAGCTAGTAACATTTAAGGTAATGAGGGCTATCGTTTTAGCGCTCACCAGTTTGCGCCACTCTGTAGAGTAAGGTCCTGTCACTTGCTAGTAGCGAAGACAGTGGCACCAACCGGTGAGTGCTAAAGTGGTAGGAGGACTATCGCATATGCACTCATCAAGATGGCGCCACTGTAGAGTAAGGTCCTGTCAATCGCAAGGGGTGCCAACTGTTAAGTATAAAAACGATAGTCCTCATTAAAACTTGGGCTAAACAGAAAAAAATCATGTGGGAGTTATGTTCTTGATTTCAAAAATGGTAAGTATAGCGAAAAACTGAAAACAAACTGTAGATTTATTCAGCTTTATCATGTAGGCTGCTTGCACTTCTTGTAGAAGTTATTGTTAAACAGCAGTTCACAATAGTAATATTATGAGTATAATACCTAGACAATACCTAATCCCATCAAAAACAATACTTGTCAAAAAAACCAAGTCTCGCAACTCAGTTGTTCTACGGTAAAAAGTTGTGAGATCCATGTAATACCAAGTCCAGGCCAGGAAATCTTTAACGTTTTACATAAATTATTGACTTGGCCATCGCACTAAATAATTTAATTTACACGTGTTTTCATGCGATGGCCAAGTCAATATATTTATGTAAAACGTTAAAGATTTCCTGGCCTGGACTTGGTATTACATGGATCTCACAACTTTTTACCGTAGAACAACTGAGTTGCGAGACTTGGTTTTTTTGACAAGTATTGTTTTTGATGGGATCTCATTTCTTTTTGTATTTTGTAGACAGCAGTTATGTATCTAGAAAACTGGACCGAAATTGAAAAATTTTACTCGACTTGGCGGTTGCACTACCGTGCCTCCAAATATTTTAGTTTTTCCTTAATTCATACACCAAACACTACTTATATTCCAAATTTGAAGCTTCTAGGTCTGCTAGAAGTGCCTTAGAATTTTGATGATCGGTGAGTCAGTCAGTGAGTGACAAAATTAAGTAACTTTGACCCGTTATAATTCTTAAACTACTGGTTCAAATTGAATGAAATTTTGAATATACCGTGTCTTTACAATGCCTGCATAGCTAATGAAAATTCAGCCTTTTAGTTTTATCCACAACGAAGTTACAGGCAGTCGAAAATGGCCTGAATTGCTTCGAGAAAAGGATGGTACGGCCGTGCCGCTTTTTGCTCGACTTGGTGGGGGCACTGCCGCGCCCCCAGATTAATATCTATTTCCTCAAGGTAAACTTGAAAACATATTGCACATTCAGAGTCTGGAAAAATAGCTTATGGTATGATTACTATTGTGAAATCTATTCTAGACAGACAGTTGGTTGGTAAATAAAGATTTAGTTCATTTATCATTTACAGAGACAGTTTACTCAACAAAATATTTGTTTAAATTTTAAATTAGTTTACTAAGTATTTTTACATAAAAATCCTGAATAAATAAGACACTTAATATGTGCCATTATGTCAAAAAAAACAATTTAACCCAATCCATAATACGTATTTAGAAATCATTACGATTGCATGCAATGCGGCAGTGCTGGAAATATTTCACGAGAAACTAATTAATCCGCTATCATGTTTGCGTGAACTTTGGCTCGAAGCTGCGCACAGCGATAGAAAACGCAAACAGTGTTATCTATTTTAGTGTATGTACATGTTTACATTAGATATTGTGAGTACTCATTGTGTACAGTAAAGGTGGATAGTCCAAAATTGAACGTATGACCTTCAGCATAGTCGAGAAGAGCAGGTCTGATGTCTGATCACAAGATAAATCTACGTCTAATATTGTAGCGCAACGGATTGAGAAAATAATTTAATTGCTTACTGCTTGGCTATGGAAATTGATTTTCTAAAGTTTAAAAGTAAGAATAGTAGTAAAATGTTTTTAGTTTATCAACAAATTCTGGAATTGAAAATAAAACTTATATGGAGAGAACCACCATGAACTATTGACATTATCTAGAGAAAAACAGCCAGTTTAGTATAAACCTTACAGTTGAATTGTTTTAAAAATAAAAATCATATTAATAAATAGATTTCAGACTTCATTCAAGAGAATTTTAATCCCTAGAATAAATTTTATTGTGGAATTGATAAGAATGTTATTTACCCATATTAAGAGTAATTATAGAACTTCTAAGAATAAAGTAGGCAGTAAAACAGTTATCACGAGACTACGTTATCATTTAGCAAGGTGTTTTTCACCTTTTCTTAGCATCTGTAGTTGAGCTTGGGACTCAAGTTGAAAGACATAAAATGCTAATCTCTCACATTCCACACCGTGTCCAAGATACTATACGGAACTATGACATTAACGATTATGACCTCGTGACGAAAATCACTGCGAATTCTTCATTGAAATGTGGGATTTTTAATCCAAATCGAAAGTACGAACCATCGCCGAAAAACTGCTTATTTAGGTATTTCCAGCCTTCAGCGCGATTGTCATCTGGATCCATTATAGACACTATTAATTTCTTGTTATTTTTATTAATGAAACTTGATATTAATTACTCAATTTAATAATTTTAAACCCGAACTCGTCTATCGCGAATAGCAGCAGCACGTAAACTGTCAATGTCAGTGTGACGCAGTCCAAGACGTGACATTTTGCATAGATTAAACCAGCAAAGACAATTTAAACGTTTAAAGATAGGCGCGCATCGAGTTGATTTTTTTTGTGCAACTTAGCAATCGGATTTCTCTCTTAGCCATATTATTATATGATAAATATGGCTAAGAGAGAAATCCGATTGCTTAGTTGCACATTTAGTTAAAGGGCGAAGATATCATACATTTCGATGTCGGATCTTGTTCCTGGCAACCAGTTTATTAAACAAGTAAATTATGTCCAGAATGAGACGCGCGTCAAAATTTGAAAATGTTTTTTTGTAGCTAATAAATAACCATAACGTTGTTAACTGTCTTCAATTGTTTTGACTTGGAATTTTTCTGGATCAGACTTCCAAAACATGTGAAATAAGGCTTAAAAAATACGGTGTGGCAAATCGACCGGACCAACCGGACTGTTCGATAAGAAGGTTGATTTCGCGCTTCAGAGGGCGTGTTTAGGCCGATCGGGCTATGCGTCATAAGCGGATCGTAGGTAGAGTTATCTCATTCTACTGAGCAGAAGAAGAAGCTCTTTTGGTAACGATGAGAATTATGACCTGTTTGGTTTATTGAGCCAGAAAAAAGGAGGTGTACCTATCACTGGATTGCATAATACGCATACTTAAACGGGTGACTATGTAACATCCGAATCATCCGATTATATTGACGATTGTTTATCGATACGTCACGAAACGTGAATGAAAGTACAAACACAAGTGGTGGGTGGATGCGTTATTTCTGGCGCCGCGGAACTTGGCTGGGGAGATGACCACGTCAGAGCCAACACCCTTGACATTGGTGGCGACTGTACCTACAGTAGCTGCACAGGAAACTTTTGACAGACGTCGAATTTTATTACAAGCTATTAAGGTTTAAATTCCAACAACAATGAATCCTAGATGTAACTAGTGTCACATTAAAATAGTTGTCGTAGGGTAATAGAAACATAATAATGTCTCACGTCTCTTTTCATGTAAAGAACATGAAAAGAGACGTGAGACATTATTATGTTTCTATTACCCTAAGATTTCATTTTTAGGTAATACAAACACTCAATTGTACTTATAGTGTGACATACAACATTAACATTATTTCCCAAATTAAGCCTAGCTATTGACATTTAAGGTCAAGGTTTACGGAAAATTAATAAAACCAGCATTACTCCTGCTGTGTTATGATGAGACACAAGTTTACCCACTCAAAGTAATTGCTTGCCGCGGCAAACCATCAGGCGCTACGGGTGACCTTTATAATAAACTAGCTTTCCGCCCGCGGCTTCGCCCGCGTGGAATTTTGTCTGTCACAGAAAAACTTTATCGCACGCGTCCCTCTTTCAAAAACCGGGATAAAAACTATCCTATGTTCTTTCCCGGGACTCAAACTATCTCTATGCCAAATTTCATCAAAATCGGTTGCGAGGTTTAAGCGGGAAAGCGTAACAAACAGACAGACAGAGTTACTTTCGCATTTATAATATTAGTTGGGATGGGATTGGGATTGATAACACTTACTCATCAAAAATATATTTTTCTTCAGGAATTACTTGTTATTGTTATGGAATAAGTCTAATCAACTACGTTACTAATTTCGGTACATTACGCTCATACATTATTTTTTAGTTCCCTTTCAATAGTTTGAATTACTTATTAGATCAAAGGGAGTGTTGACAATTCGTAGTAGGCTTTATAATCAAAGTTCGTAGTTATGATTGCAGGGCAGGCAGACGTATACAGTTGTTCCTTAAGTTAGCCCTCATTATTGAGGTATTCAAAGGAACTAGTTCTTTACTAGAGAATGTTACTTTCCAACAAATGAACTTAATGATATGAAATTACATTCCCGGTGCCCGCTGGATGCTGTCATGAAGGAAATTGCATCCTACGTGCTGCCCACGCACGATGCTTCTTGCACGAGTAGACAAAGCAATTAGTACAGTCTGCAGCACAGGCTATTGTTGCAAAATAGCACATTTTACAAGCACTTTAGACACCATTCAGTGTTTCTTGATGTGCTGTCGCTGTGTCAGATGTTTATGATGGCCGCTAGAGGTTTTTGCTCTCGACTGCAGGTTTATTATTTGGCTGTTTTCATATTGTAACTGAACAAATATACTACAGGCGATAGATAGTCCAATGTTCAAGGCATTTCTTTCACTATGAGTTAATTACATAAACATCTAATCATAGAGTTCTAAAAACTTGAGTTGTTGAGTTTTGTAAGCATTACCTAGGTC